GTCTGTACTGGGGGGGAAAATGCTGGGACTTTTTTTGATATTAGAGTTCACCAGGAGGTGGGCAAAAAAAAAACCAACCCCTAACAAACCCTAGAAAGGCATCAGTTGAGTCATTGTGTGCCCGTGGAGATTTAAAGAAAATCCATCCAGATGCTTTCTGCTCCAGAGTTTTAAAACTAAGGTGTTGACTCAGCTAACACTTTAACTAATTCTCCTCTTTTTGTTTGAACTGACTAAGGATGCCACTCCTCATTTGCCCACTGTCCAGGAAAGTCTGGGTGGTGGCCAGAGTGCAAGTTTGTCTCCCAAGTCTTGCTTGTATTTGAGTCTGGGATCTGAATGTCTCCCAAGTATCCAAGCTAGGTTGTGTGTGAGCCTGGGTGGTGAAGGCGATGGGACTGCAGGAAGCACAACAACCTGTGGCTCAGAGGATGGTGTGCCTGTGTCGGCTTGCAGATCTGCAGTAGTTCCTTGCTGGCGTGGGGAATCTGTCCCTTTCTGCAGGCTGCTAGCAGCACTGGTGTGCCCAAGAAAGCCTACTTGTTAAAGCCATACTGGTTTACCCCAATGGCCTGTCACCCCCAAAGCACATTGTATGCTTCAGGACCAACTCTTTTCTCACTCCTTTGACCCAAACCTGTCTCTTTCAAAATCGGCCCCCTGGGGTACCAGAGCAGAATTTGTAATTTGCCTAATGCACGCAGTCCTGGCTGGCAGGCATTAGGGTCTCCGTGGGGTGGAAAAAATTGAGGCTGAAGGACTAGTATGAGACTGAAGAGCTGAGAGTCAGGATTTGGGCAGGATTTGGGAATTTCTGAAGGATGGGGACATGGTGTACCAACCCATTCCTGTGAGACCCAGGTGGAGCTCCAGGTATTGTCCTCGTGCATTTCCAGGGTGTGGGGGAAGAGAAGGGATACTGGGGCAAGAGGCAGGCAGCCAGCAGATTAGGGTCCCTCTTGTGTGATCTCCAAGGAGATCAGCATCCCTCAGTGCTGTTTTCCTGCTGCTTTGATTTACATGAAGGCCTGGGATCGGGAGGCCACCGAGCTTTCGTTACAGCTGCTTTTGCCCTCTCCTGCTCTGCGCTGCTTCTCTATTGTGGCACATAATTTACTCCCTGACTTTCCATCCTGCAGTTACAGTCCCAGCTCAAAAGTGTGATTACAGCTGCGGCATTGCTGTGTCATTGCCTTTTGTTTGGCTCAATACAGCTCTACTTGGGCAGAGCAGAAAGGAAAAGAAATAATAATGATGCATGGACAGAGGGGAAGATCTGACGTGCCTTTCCAGCCCGTTTGCTGTGTATTTCATCTCGGGTGGGGACTCTCATTAACTAGTCACTTAGCAGAAGCAACCTGTATCTAAAGGTTAATTTCCACAGCGGTTGTTGCTGGGTTATTTGATGGCGGGTAATTTCCATCCTCAAAAGATTCTTTTACTCCTACCTAGTATTTAATGAGATTAAATTGCAACTTCTCTGAGACCTCGTGGCAGAAGTGTGTATGTGTGGCAGGTGGCCACCAAAGCTTTGTGTGGACTTAAATGAAAGGCACTTGGGGAGCAGAGAGAAAACCCTTTCATAATGAGGGGGAAATAGTGGCGATGTTTGAAAGCTTCATAGGTGTTAATAAAAGATACTGCTTTTTCAGTTACACAGAATGATAAATACAATGGGCTTTGCAAGAATCTGTCTGTAGGACAAAAATTACTGTAACATGACTTTGATGTACACACGATGCTCCTTTTAAGGCCTGGAGCAAGGTGACCTTTTAAATGAGGTGACTGTGGGATGAGTTTTCCAGTTGATACAACATCGCTGGGCCCCATTCTAACCTTGCAGTGTATTTATAATCTCTAATCCTACTGATAGTGTGGGGTATTTCTTGGAGAAGCTAGTTGTAATGCAACAGTGATCCAGTGAGACCACCGAAGGCAGTAGAGCTATTCCTATTCTGTGTCGGTGTAGTTGGTATTGGGATGGGCTTTGACAGTTGCTGCAGGGTGCTCATGTTTGATGTCGGTGGGGCAGCAGATGGGCAGAGGTGGGCACACGTACCCTTGACTGGGCCGAGGCATTGTGCACGCTACAGGAAAGTCTGTGCTCTGCTTTGCACACTTCTCCAGACTTAACTGCCATGCAGATACTGAAGTGCATCAGGAGCTGGGCCTGTAGTGTTGTCTGTTCCTGTTCCCTCTAATACATTTTCTCCAGACTGCTAAAGCTGATGACATCTAGTACTGAACACAATTAAATATGTTTGACATTGAACCGAAAAGCTTCCCTGTGGCTGTTCTGAAAGATTTTTTCCAATGTGTTTTTCTTGCATTTTTTTGTACAGAGGATTAACTCCTTGCTTGCAACCTCAGATTCTGGGTAGTTCAGGAATCTCCTACTAGTTGGTTTCTGTGTTTACCTGGAAGGCAAAAATTTGAACATGTGAAATTCAACAAGTGTGAGGTGGGTGAAATACCCTCCTGAAAAAATGCTTTAGAGACAGAAGAGTGCTGCTGGATGCTTTTCCTGCATCTGGTAGAGAGAAGAGGTGAAATGTGGGGTGCGGGCGGGGGGTCAGCATCCTGGGGAGTTGCAGTGGTGGTGAGGTGAGATGCCAGGCTGGGCAGAACCAGAACCGAGCCTGAATTGTGTTTTATGGCATTGGTACAAAGGCTTTTTGTGTTCTCGGTTTCCCAGCAGCTGTCGGGCAGCTGTGCTATGCAGACAGGGGAGGAAGGCTGGCCGCAGTAACATCCCAGGATGTTTCAGCTGCGCAGTGGCTCTTGTTCTACTGTTGTTTAAAGACCTCCTTTTTGGGCGCAGGGTAGGGGGAGGAGGGGATGCTGTAGATCTCCAGAGCAGGACCCTAGTCTGAGCTGGTTCCCTCAGGTCCAGTAGGGACCAACCCTGTTCCTCTGTTCTTCAGGCTGCCATGATGCTATCCTGGCAGTGCTGCCCCTCGGGCTGGGGTATTTTGCAGCCATGCTGCCCTGACCATGTCTGCCTCTGGGGATGGCTCTGGGGTCACAGCAGGTGCCTCTGGCTGGAGTAACCCCAGGCTGGAACGTCTTGCTACAGCCTTTTCTGGTCATCCTGCCTCTGTTCCCCAGGCGTGGGTGGGGGTCTCAGCTGCAGAGGGGAAGGACGCCTGCTGTCCCAAGGGCCAGGTGTCAGCACATGGAGCCAGAGTGGGTTTCAGCTGTCTGGGGATTAGCGGTAGGGAGCTGCATGCGACGTAGGTGCTGACGCAAACCCGCTTGCGTGAGGGAATCTCAGTCTCTCCTCCCCCTGGCACAGGCCAGCAGCCTCCCAAGGAGATGACCTGGGACCCATGCGTAGCTTCCCTCTGAGATCACCTACTACGCTGTTACGGAGCTTGGCCCCAGCCTCTGCACGTGGTGCATTTGAAATGGCCAGCCAGTGATTCAGGGGACATGTTTTGCTTTTTAAAAGTATTTGTTCCTGACCGTGTCTCTGTGCTTACCTAATTAATTATCTGCCTGGGAGCTTTACTTTGTTTGTCTCAGCATTGCATTACAAGGGTAACATCTAAAAACATCCTTGTATGAGGACTGGCCATGCTGATGGCCAGTTTACAGCTGGAAAGGCAGACTGTCACCCTGGAGAGGAAGAAATTCAGGTTTTTCATACTGTTTGAAGATGTGGGAAAATGAGGATCAATAACCTGAGTCGCACCAAGCTCCAGCACGAAACGGAGGGAAACACTGTTCCCTTTCAGGAGCTTGGCAGTTTGATGTTGGTATCAAATCAGGGAATTCCCAAAGATCTGGGGAGGATGGTCTTTCCTTGGGCATGCTGACCCAAACACTGTTGTGGTTTTTTCCTTCCTCCTCAAGCATGGTTAAGAGTCAGGCCCTTTGCCCTGAACCCTTGCATCTTATTCTCCAAGCAGTGAGGCTTTGGCAGCATTGACTGTTTCTGGGGCATGGCAAGAATAAATTTGTGTTTGCAAGAAAGCGCTTGTCCTGGCAGTTAAAAAAAAATGCTAAAGATGTCCTACAGGTGTAATTGTGTGTGCTCCCTTCCCAGAGCTGTTGTTGTCTTGACACAGTGCACACCAGATACTTAACGAACGGGCAGCCCTCTGTGGAACGATTCCCCATCAGCTTTAAAACCCACTTCTCAGGGAACTATTTTCATCATGTGGTGCTCGGGATTTACTGCAACGGCCGGTATGGCTCGCTAGGCATGAGCAGACGATCAGATCTGATGGACAAACCTCTAACTTACCGAACTCTGAGCGACCTCATCTTTGAATTTGAAGACTCCTATAAAAAGTACTTGCATTCAGTCAAGAAAGTAAAAATTGGATTATACGTGCCGCATGAGCCGCACAGCTTTCAGCCTATCGAATGGAAACAGCTCGTCCTCAATGTATCCAAAATGATGCGCACAGAAGTCAGGAAGGAGCTGGAGAAGTTTGCCAGGGATATGAGGATGAAGGTAGGTCTGCATGCCTGGGTGGTGGACTCGGAGGTGGGTGTGCTAGTCCCATCCTGCAGAGGTTGATCTTGCTCCGTGTCAGCAGACTGACCCCAACCTGAGATTAAGGTGGTATCAGGTGGGCTGGGAATGTGCTTACATCTGTCTCAGTGGTTCTCCCACAGGGTCTGGTGTGTTTTAAAGCCTTTGTAGGGTTGTTTTTTTTTTTTTTGTAGTTCAAAGATCTCCCCTTCAGCCTGGGAAACACTTGAACCCATACTCATCCTTGGCCATCAAGGAGCTATTGCCCAGTTTGCTTTTCCCACTGACTATGGGAGAAGGTGGCCAGGAAGAACCAGTGTTCCTGGGGCTGGGGTTGGTGGGACGGATGTCCTGGTTGCAGGTAGGGATCTCTGCTCTTTGTGCCTGAGCTGCAAGGGGTGCCATGGGACAGCTGTGTCAGTGGTTGCTTCTTGCAGGGCATGCCGATGGGCTTGCCCTGCACCACCTGATGCCCACTGCCCTCAGCTAAATCACGCAGTAGGTTACATGGGAAGGGTGAGGAAAGTGAGCCCCTGACAGGCTGATGCTTCCCCACTGCCTGGTTGGACCGAAGAGCCTGGAGGAAAACAACGGGGAGACAGGGCATGTTGCCAGGGGGCTGGAGGGTTTGGCTGCCCTTGGGGATGAGGGGTGTCCCTGACCGTGCCTCTGGGGCTGGCGTGGGCAAGGAGCTGTTTGTGGTCATGGTGGAAGGAGATCTGATGCCTTTCCAGCCTACTGTTGGCAGTAGGAGCAGAGCAGGTGTGTTGCTAAGTATGGGGCTGGCTCTCATGAAGAGGCATGCAGAATCGCGTCCAAGTTATTCTGGGTTCCAGTCCCCTTCCCTGCTGAGGAATGGCTCCTACGTAGCAGCCGTGTGCCTTTTTGGCTGAGGCACCTGCCCCCTTGCCCTGACCTTGAGGTGGGTGTCTCCAGTGGCATTGTAGCCCTGACATCTTGCTGCCACCTCTCCTGCCCTCCAAGGAGTCTTGAGGGCCAACTTGTACTGTCCTGTCACCTTTAGCACATGTACTTGATTACAGCTGTAATGAAGCCTTTTCCCCCCCATCTTCTCTGTTCATGCACTTCTAATACCATCTAGAGAGTAAACAGCTGAAGCAGGCTCTAGCTGAAGAAGTCCGTAAGCGTGGATGACTTAGTACTTGCTTTTCATAGAGGGACCAGCTCTGTGTGTGCTGAGCTGTGACACTGGGTCCAGTCCTTGTGAGTGCCTCAAGGCCAGGACCACAGCCCTGAACCCTTGAAGGCTGAAGGCCCTGTGTCTGACTTCCCTTGAGTTAATTCAGAATGAGTCACTTGATTCAGAGGGCTCCCTTTGTGAGGGGGCTGACCTTGGAGGATCAGGTCTTAAAAATAGCCTGGAGTGTATCATGCTGATGGACTTCTGAGGTTGGAGGGCCTGGGGGATGCGGACGAGGGTGCGAATGGACAGGAGACCCACTGAAAAGTCCCACTGTTGCACAGTGTTCAACTGCCAGCCTGGGAGGTGATCACCTCTGCAGAGAGGAAAGCTGGAGAGGGCGATTTGGCTGCGTGAGTTTCCTTCAGCTGAGGCTCAAAGCTGTTTTTCTTACCCCATGCTGTTGCCAGCTCTGAAGAAAGCTGTGGATGAGACTTTCTTTTTTTCAGTATTCAGCTGGGAACTGAATTGGTGACACCAACTAATTTTTGCAGGGGGCCCCTGAACAGCTATCACATGGTAACAGCTTTGGGTTTCTCTTAACCTGGGCAGGGTTTGAATAAGCCCCAAGGGACTGAAGGCTCTTTGTGTGCGGTCTCCACTACTCTATGAGGCCCTTTATTTTTATTTTTTATTTTCAGTGAATCATTGCCTTTAGTGAATGCCTTTTCCTTCCCTCCCCCATCTCTCACAGATTCTGAAACCCTCAAGTGCCCATTCCCCGATGAAAGAGAGATCACGGGGTAAGTCGTTGTCCCCTCGACGAAGGCAAGCCAGCCCTCAGAGGCGCGCATGCAGAAGAGACAAATCTTGAGTATTCCTGCTGTCATCACTGGTGGGTCAGAAGTAGAGGCTAATGGCATATTATTTTGCTGAACAAAACTTACATGCGCACACTGGAATATATATGAAAACTGCACCAGCTCTCTTGGTTGCCTGAGAGGCTCCAGAAGCCGCTGGTACTGCAGATGTCCTGGGATTGCTGTGCTTACTGCTGCCCTGTGACCCTTCCATGTGGGAGACCCTGATGGCCTTTGCTTGGTTAAATTCTACAGAATGTTGGATGACTGTGGAAGCGGAAGTGTGGGTTTTGCCTTTTCTTTTCTCACTCTTTATACAATCCACTTTCTGGAGAAAAGAACCTAGCCTAGCGTGCAGGGGACCTGTACAGGAGGGAAAGTAGTTTGGTGATCTTTAAGGGTGTTCAGACACTGGTATTAAAAACAGGAGAATTTATCCGCTAGCAGTGGTGGGATGTCCTGCTGTCATTGAGACAGAAATTGGATTCTCCGTGATGAACCTTTGTATGTAGCTGTTCTGATGGAGTGGTTTTCACTGAGGACTGCCCGACTTACAGGGATGGTAAACCTTTTCTCTTCTTGCCAAAGTGGAAACGTTACTTGTGTTGTATTCTTCAATTTTAATCGGCTTAAAAAAACCCAGACCACTTCCCTTGTGCGTCGTAGCTAATAGTTTTTCTTTAACTGCGTGAGGAAGGATGGACTAACTGCATGCAATACCTCTAAATGGATAAAACTGAGCTTCTAGATCACAGGCCTTTTACAGCCACTGGCAATTCAGACTCCCATATCTTAGATGTGGAAGAGTTGAGTTTTAGCTGTACTGCTTCATGCCAGGAAGCTGACAACTGTGAAAGCCTATACGTAACCCAGATTAGTCACATATTTATGATCATGGCTTTTTAAATAGGATCTCAGACTACTGTCTCAGCACTTATTTATTTATTTTAAAGTAGCTAACAAAGACATTAGAGTAACCTTCTAAAGATAACTTGAAGATACTTTAGCAGCAGATGATTTCACAGCAGGCTTTTATTTTTACGTGTGAATTCACACTCAGTCCATGATGCCGTACTTTGAGCTTCATCGCCAAGAGCTCCTTGTTTAGCGCACAGATAATTATAGTTGTAATGGGCTTAGCTACTCCAGGCTGCTTCACCTCCTAGATTTGCTTTGAGGGATGGTTTCATCTTTGGGTTTCTAATAGTGCTTTTTCAGTTTCTGGAGTGGATTGCATATGTTTGGAGAGAAGACTGAGTCTCGCTGGGCTTGGAGACTTGTTGGTTGGGCTAGTTTCCTGAGAGAGCTGCTGGACGCGTGGTTGCACTGCAGTGGCTGGTTCCTCCTTGGCAGCTTTGCTTTTCCAGGACAGAAAGATGAGTGAAGTACTGGTAGCCTTGCAGTGGCTCCAGCACCTTTTACTTGCTGGTGGTTCTGCTGTGTTGCTCTGTATCTAGAGCAAATTATGCATTGTTGTTATGAAGTAAAACCTGGGTCACCATGAGACAAGATCCAGGACACAGCTATAGCATGATGCAGGGAGCAGGAGGCCAAGAGCAGATTCCACACAAGACCTTCATCTCTGCTTTGGCAGAAGGTGTTGCAGTATCCCAGAGCGGGTGTGAGCTCTTGCAGCACGTGCTTTGTGGCTGCGTGACAGCCCTGCAGGTCCTGTACAGCTCCCTCGCAAGCCTGGATAGTATGCTTGGAAGGAAAGGGGGACTGAAGGAGCTTTCGGCAGGTCCAGGGCCCTTGAGCAGACCCAAGAGGCTGCTCTCTGTTAGAAAAGTGATGCCAGGGAGAAGAACCATTCCTGATGTTAAAATAATGCTTCTGTGCAGTGGTGCTGGTGGCTCGAAGGCTGACTGTGCCTTTTGCCTCGTCGGGAGTGATGCTGCAGAGGAGTGTGCTGCCATAGGGAGTTCCCTGCTGGTGATAAAACCCTTTCATTTCAAAACGGAGATCTGTGAGTTTCTGCAATGGGAGGTCTCTGAGACCTGAAGGGGGAGTGGCATCCCCTCATCAGGGACGAGCTGAATGACACATAACCAGCATGTACAGCAGTTCGACGTAGCATGAGAAATACATGAGGGGAAATGGGGTATTTTCTTCTGCATATTGATAGATTTCTGAGAACCTAGTGGCAGTGAAAGGCCTTTGTGTAACACACAGAAGAGGAAAGACTTCCAGGCTTGCTAGGCTTTAGCTAGGATTTCAGCTTAAAGAATGGCCATGCTTATCAACACTGTGTTTTGTTTCTTTGTGTATCTTTTACTCACATGCTGTAATTACAGCTTTTTAGAGCTTGCAGGGGAGGGGGAGAGAAGTGTTTTGCTCTAGTGTGAGCTGGCAGGGGCTGAATAACACATTCATTTGAGAGGCTTCACCTGCTGATGACAAGCTGTTATTACAGCCTGTTTTTTGCCAACAATAAAATTATATGGGCCTGCTGGGAGAAATCTCCCAGTCAAAAATACATGAACTGGAGCGGTGAACTGGAATGTCTTTGCTGGATTGTTTCTGAAAGACAAAGACTGAAGCTGTGCTTAAGGACAGACGTGGATTTTACAGCCTCGACCCTTTTACTTCTCATCCTAGTTCCTTACTCGTTTGTTAGGTAAATGCTGGTGGTCACCGCCAGCAAGCCCACAATAGCGTTTTAGCCTGGAAATAGAGCTACAGGGCAGATGGGCCATGCGGCGGCACAGGGGTGGCAATGCAATAAGCAATGCATGCCTGTCTATAGGAGACTGGTGTGTAGTCAGATTGCAGCTCATTACCTGAGCTACGTAATAGTCCCTGTGCTCTTAGCCCACAGCTGGTGTGGTCCTGCTAAGGGTGGCCAGCAGACAGGGTGAGTAAAGAGGGTAAGGGTGGTGTGAATCTCTCTGGTAAGTCTGGAGCTTTATTGTGTTCACTTGTCCATCCTCCAAAGTTCCAAACCAGGAGGGTGCAGTAAATCACAAGCTGCTGTGCTGGAACAGGCAACGCAGTGCTTCGTCCTCAACAGAAGTGCTTGGAGCTGGAGGGGTTTGGGAGTGTTGGCAGGGGTTCGGAAGGGAGTGTCATGTGGCAGCCTGAAGCAATCTCTGCTCCTAGATGTCAGTTCACCAGATCTATTCCCTTTTAATTTCATACTGAGGCTTAACACATGCATGCTCTGTGAGTGTCATAGCAACACCGGCCTTGTCTGCTTCTGGCCTAATTCAGCTGTTGAGAAGAAAATTCAGTTAGTCCATTATATTAGGATGTGCAAGGGGGCAGGATTATCTTGCGATCACATTATATTGGGATGTGCAAAATGAGGCAGATCCAATGCAGACAACTCATGAACACTGTGTGCCCAGCAGCTATGCATAGCTTATTCACTGGCTGATTGTCACGGCACTTCGACAGGAGATGCGATCTGATGGGCCGCTACAGCCGAGTTCCTTTGCTTCAGGGGGAATGTTTGACGTCAGGTTGTTTGCCAGCCAAGGAGAACAGGAGCTGTGGTGCCTCCGCTCCAACAAATCCTTGCCTTTTCCTAAAACCCTGAAGAGAAACTTTATGGAGGACAGTCTGGTTGTAACTACAGGCTAGAGAATTGTCATGGAGCGGAAATGGGCATGTCGCCACGGGTATGCAGTGACTCCCCATCTCTCTTGGATAGTCAGAGAAGGTAGAACCATCCAGGTGTGCTTTAATTAAAACCACATTCTGGCTTTAATCAAAGGGAAGGCTGGAGGGGGGGAGAAAAGGGTGGAAGAGGATCCCTAAATTTGAAGGAGAGAGGAAGACAGGCCATTGGAACATACAGCGCATCTCTTGCTGGTCTCAGACTCCTACGCAAGCTCGGAGGGATGCAGCTTTTAACTCTCCTGTGACCCCGCTGGCTGCCCAGAGTGGCTTCAGCAGAAACTGGCAGGCAGCGTGCAATGAGGACGTATCAGCCTTGCGTGTGCAAACTCAGGGGTCACGTCTGCTGCCCAGTGAGCAAAGGGTAAGCACAAGAGCTGGCAACCAGGTCTGAGGAGCTGTAGGAAAGCGCTGGGGCCATTACCAGCTTCACCTTGTACTGCTTGAGCTTTAGCTGAGGTTTTGCAGTGAAGTGGTCATGCTGCAGTCTACTAGGAGAAACGTGTATTTCAGACAATGTTTTTCTTTAGAAAAGCAAACATATGGTTTAGTGTGAAAATAGCTGAGAGCGTGGAATAAGCTCTCAGATGAGGCACTGACATAGAGTATAAATCACCAGGATTGTTTTGGTTTGACAGCTTTGTTGCAGGAGCTTTTCTGTTGCTTGCTAAAGTGGGAGAGACTGCTCAGTCCTAAGGTTTAATTTGGTTTGGGTTGTTGATATAGTTAAATGACCTAACAGCATACGCATATGTGTGGTTACTCAAGTGGATGGCTGGACTGTATTAAGGTGCCTGGAGACTGAAGGGAGTTCATCTTGTGTTTTCTGTTTGTCGGGCTCTACCCCTTCAGACAGACCTTGCCAAGAGGCAAGGGCAGGTTCAGCAAGACAACATGCTGTGGCAATGTGAGAGGCCTTGCCTGTTTGCTTTCAGCAGTTGCCACTTTATTCTAACAGCTGGAGTCCTGCTCTGGGGTAGATCACAGGCAGAATGTGTCTAGTCTTAGCTACTCATTTAGGCCCCCTCTCAAGTCAACAGGGAGAGGGGCACTCCCAGGCTCAGATCATGCACCCCAGGATGGGACAACAACTTCTTCACTGGCACTTGGTTTCAGAGGCAACCCACACGAGTAGCTCAATCACGCTAGTTCATGTGACAAATTCAGAAGGATCATGCTTATGATGAGAAAATCAAATCTTTTTGAAGTAAACTGTTCCTGCTCTGACAGCTGCTCTCTCCGCTCCTGCGGGGCAGTTGGGGTTGCTGGTGAGCAATGCCTTCTTCCCTCCTTTGCTCGCAGGCCTGCGGTGGTGGACAAGAAAGGAGACCTGGCTACGCTCAACGAGGTAGGCTATCAGCTCCGCATCTAACCAAGCCATACGCCGGACAGAGGGCTTCCCTGGTGCTTCCTGCTGCACTTTACCCGCACTCCGTTGGAAGGAAAAAGGAATGGGACTATTTATTAACTTGTGAGCTCTTATAATAAAAGTTTTACCTAGAAAATAGTAGGGGGGATTTTTTTTTTTTGTGGCAGTATTTATTTTCTTTCAATTACAGAAAAGGCATCAGTGAAGAGAACCTAAAATTATGCTTATCAGGATTTAAGATTTTTTTTTTTTTTTCCCCCTCCATCATGTAGCAGGTGACTCCAGTGGTGTGAGAGTTTCTTCAATTTCCCTGTACAAGTATTAATTGAATTTGGACATTGTGCTGGGTAGTAGCATTAGGATAACTAAGAAATCATATTCTTAGTGTTAAGATGTGCTGGGGTGCAGTGCAGTTTAAAAAAAAAAAATAATCACATTCAGTATTAGTATTTAATTCAGCAATAAAAACGAGCAGTGCAGAAGTGGCATGAGTTTTTAAAGTATCAATATTACCTCACTAAACTTAACAGATATGCAAACCTGTCAATATTATTGTTTTGTAACTAATTTGTACTGATTCCCAGCATTTCTGGTAGTATTAAAACAGCACTGGATGTTTTACTGCCACCTGTATTATTATTTTGTGCATGTTGCTGAAAGATGTTAAGTAATAGTAATATGCAAGCGTGTTCTTAAACACTGAAACTTTATTAGGCAAAATATGAGGTTTTGGTTTTTTAAATGATGATAATTGATGAAAAATGAATTTTTAAACTTTCAGGATTTTTTTATACTTTGTCACAAGCTTTTAGACTTTTGGGACTACACTGCTGAAGCACAAAATGTAGAGATTGCCGTTTTGTAGAGACAAGCATTCACCTACTAGTCAAGTCTGTTTCTCGTATAGGTTCCTGGAACAATGGAAAAAATGTCAGAATTGCTAACCTGAGCCTGTGTGCTTTTTGTTCAACGTTTGTGTGTAGCTTTGAACCTTGTCTTCAAAAGGCTGAGCAGTCTCAGATGGTGATGCCTTGACATGTTACATTAAGATCAGACATCGCAGGCTGAAGTTAACCTTCCGCCATGCTGCTGTAGGGAGTTTTTTCTATATGTGTTGTAGTAACAACAGCTTAGTCAGACCTGAAAAAGGAAGCTTGTATTGGAACAACTCCAGCAATAAATGAAATTGTACGACTGAGCTAGCTGAAAAGCAAGCTTGAGTACTTCCTCCCTGCTCAGTCCTTTTGTTCTGAGACTTAGCTAAGGACCTGTCATGGATGGCAGTGTTCTCAAGTGACGTGGTAAGACCTTCATTAGGGTCTGCCCTTCGCATTAGTGAAGTCCTCTGGAACTGGATCCTCTGGAGCATTCGAGTGCTGCACTCCTGAAAATATTTCATTAGGTGCCTAAACAGAAACTGGATTATTGTACAAGTCCAGCCTCTACCCTTTGTGCTGTGCTTTTATAGATGATACTGCCATGGGCCTTGTGTACCTCCCCTCCTGGGATCTTGATGAAGACAGGACATGGTAACATGGTGACAATAATGCTTCCTCGAATTGAATGATTTAAGCTCCTAGATTGCTTCTGTCAGCTTGCAACTGACCGGATACAGGAGGAGTCGATTGCTTGTACACAGACCTCATTGCTCAAAGTCAATGACTTCCACTTAACCTAGGACAACAAGACAACACCGAGACCTGGCAACCTTCTACAAACAGTAAAAGGCTTTCTACTAATTAGACTTCAGAAGGTGTGCAAAGAAGACTTTTCAAACGTCACACTTCCTTATAAAAGATTACAATATCAGTTACAGGGAAGCCTTTCCATCCCTCTTTCTGCAAACTTTTCTGCTGCTGTGTTCACCATAAGATTTTTTTTGTTTTGTTCAGGAGTGTAATTGAAGAGAGGGAAATTCTCTTTTGGTAGAAATTCTTGTGTAATTTGTCATCAGCTGCAGAGTTTTGGTTTTAAACCATGTGCTGCTCATTGTCTTGTGACCTAAACAATTTTTTTCATGTATCCCTTAGATTTCTCATGGGTAAAGTGATGTGAAAAAACTAACTTTGATCAGCTGTATCCTATAACACAAGGTTATCTGGTATATTGCAAGGTTTTTCTCTATGAAACCATGGTTTACTTCAGCTCAAGTAATAGTGGTTGGTATACAGTTTTTACCATTCTCCAGCACAACTTGAGTTATTTTCTCTTAACCTCTAACTTACACTGAAACTTTTTAATGCTGTAGAGGTGTGTGACAAATTGCTTTTGGTTCTTGTTTTGAAGTTCAGCTGAAATATTCTCTTGAAACTTGTTTATGAGGGCAGTGGTCTTAAGTGTGGCTCTAGTGACTGTTCTTCTAACTTACTGCAAAGTGGTCAAATAGTGTAGCAAACATGCATGACTTTTGGGGGGTTTTTTTTAATCACTTGTATGTTTATGCACAGCATGAAACTTTAATAAAATATCATGGTAGTATTTTTTTTAATGACTTAAAGTTGTTTTTTTTTTGTCCTGTCCAGGCTTCTATCCCAGAAAAGATCTAAGTTGTTTCTAAAAATCAAGACAGAACAAAAGGGGACAAACTAAAGCAGATTTTTTTAAGATTGCTAATACCTACCTCATTTATTATTCTCCAGTGAAGTCACTGAACATGAAGCCCTTTAACCCATTAACAGGTAGCTATAGCGGGGGTTTTTACAAAGGAGGACTGAAACAAATCTCTCAAGCCTGAAAATAGATTGTTGCTGAACAACAAGCACCCCTGAACTAGCAGCACTGATGACTGCATCATATCAAGCAGCTGCTGCTTTTTTCTTTCAGTAGTACCTTGGGCCTTTCCCCATCTTATTGTCATGAAAATGGGGGAAAACACTTGACGTGAGTTCCACCTTTTGTAAAGGAAGGCAAATTATTATAGTCCTTTAATAACAACATCGCTATTGAAGTAGAACAAATATATCTTACTACCTTAATGGTTTCCTGTGGTTACCAGGGAAGTGGAGTATGTTTTTCAGAAGGCCATCTTACCTGCCTTGAAGAATTTGGCCATTTTAAAATGTCACAGCAACACACAGTATCTGAAAACAAGCCACATCTGGAAACCATTCATCAGCAAGTCCAAAGCATTTTCTTTTAAATTAGCATAAAATGTACGATTCAAACCAGCATTGTAAATAGCTAGGTGTTTGGCCTGGCATAAAGTGCTGCTCTGTGTAAGAGAGAATGGAACTGATGTGAAACCTCTGCTTTGGAGCGGATAAGGCTTTAGACAAGCCTGAAAAGCGATGCTTAAGTTAAGGCTTATGCTAAATAGCAGAACATCTCCATTAACCTACCTTCCCCTGTTCAGCAGCCTCTGTTAGGAGCTCACATTTCTCTCTGCAATGGTGAAACCATGCAGTCCTCCAGGCTTGCAACCCTCCTCACCCGTAACACAGGCTACGCAGGTTGCTACAGCTGAACAATGTTTTTAGCTGTAACCAGTATCTACCAGAAATTTGCTGCAGCTGGTTAAATACATTTGCATCTATCAGCTCCAGCTTTGAGAAGGTACAATTTTAAGTAGCTGAATAGAGTCCAGTATTGAATAGGTGCTGCAGCCACCCTTCCAAATGCCAAGCAACTTAAGCTGAATGTTTTGATAGGTAGTCATATTTTTCAGTATAACACTGAAGTACTTTTTAATTCAACTGGTTTTATGATTATTACCACTGTACTTCCTGCATTATTCTCAAAGCACAAAGTAATCATAGCTGTAATTCTGCAGTCAGGAAAAAGGAAACCCAGATGAAAACTCCAAAAATTAGGTTGGAGAAAAACAAGTGTTTCTGGGAGACAAATGCATCTGAATGTGATTTCAGGAATAGGGGGGCAGGTTTTCCAGCACCACACTGAAACACAATTCTCTAAGTGTTACTTTTAAGTCAGTTTTACATACATATCCATATGTAGTTCAACCGAGTTACAAGACTTGTTGCCAGGCCCCCTGGCTCCCAGCAACTTTCTTATTCAGGCAGTCTTTGTTTTTTTGTTTTGTAAATCGTATTTTGCACAGAATGTTTTATCAGTGCATTATGAGCGTAAATATAAAATCTTGATCATTTAATACCTCAGGATCTGTCATTTCAATATACAACTTGACATTTTTAATAACTAAATGAAAAAAACTTCACCCAGTTGCTCAATATATATGAAGCCTTAAGATGTCAAGGACTGATTTTTTTTTCCCCTATAGTAGATCAATTAAGTTTCCTGTAAGTTTTCATGCTCATTAAGATTGGTTTTATTTCAGACACTTCTTTTAAAGAGATCCCAGTGAACACTACCTATATTTAAGCTTTTAGAAGTTAAGAGGAGTAACTTTTTAGAACATAAATATTTGCCTTGCTGCAAAGCTATTGTCTTCCTTTGGAAGTCCAATCTTGCAGCCTCTGCACTGACTATGCTCTAGCTAACTGAGGAAATGCAAATTATTATTATTACTCAGCATTTAGACAGAAGTGTCTACAGAGCAACTTTGTAGTAAAATGTTACTTTCGGCTCATTGTAAAGCGTAGCATGCACACAAACTTACTCCCCTTGAAGAAGCACACAGTTCTCAGAGAATAATCAGTTTTACTGTGATTTACAATAAAAACCATTTTTACAGTATCTCCGTGAAAAATAATGCCATTTTGAGACTGACACAGATGTTTTCCATTATCAAAGAGGAGGCTAATGTAAAATCTTTTCTTTTTTCCTTAAAGACTTCATAGAGCAATTTAAACATTTTAAAAAAAACCAGTCTCTTTAAAAAGTCTATTTTACACAACACTAACAATCCAGCATGCATGCAAACTTACTTAAACCGGACCAGCAGTAACTTGAATTAACCTTTAAAAAAATAACAATCACCAGTGAAGAGATTAGGTGAAGGTAACTTTACCTACACAAAAGTCCTTTGGATATTACCTTTCAATAAGCCTGAACTCTGCGAGCAATGGCAGGTGGTCAGAAGAGTTATTTTCATTGGGAAGACCATTAACAGTCCAAAGATCTTTCTCTGTTAGAAGTGCCAGCCTGCCAAGAAGTTTCAGACCTCCACGAAAAGAATCCTCTGCTCCTGTTTAAAAAAAAAACAACAAGTGGAAATGTTCATCAGCGTGGGCTAAAATCACATGTTCATACGTATGCAGAAGGAAGAAAAACTATGGCAGAAATAACCTGAAGTCATTATTATTGGTGATTTTGCATGGAACAAAGTAGTTCAGAAATTCTTCTTGTTTACTATTACTCTCACCATAGAACTTACAATCAGTAGAGCTCAAAGAACTCAGGAAGTCACTACCTCTCCCTTTTGCAGAGGGATAAACTGAGGTGGAAAGGGAAAGGGATTTATTAATTGTAACTCCCCTGAAAAAGCCTTACGCAATCCAGTCCTATACTCTAGCACAACAGCATTGCTAAACAGGGCTGACACTTGCAAAATTAAGCCTCTTTTGAGAGTTACTGGTTTGCATAACATTTTATTTCTGTATCCTCAAGCACACAGTTCTCCATCAGGCAAGTTGTACAGGAACTCTTGCTCGTAAGGATGAACACCTTCTGGCATTTCCCTTCCTAACTGTTCATCATAAGAAAAGGATCTTCCTCCGTTATTTCCTGCTACCTATTCCTATAATTGCCTAAAAAAAAAAAAAACCAAAAAAAAAAAAAAACCCACCAACAACCCAAAACAACAACCCAAAAAAAGCCAAAAACCCCAGCCAACAAAAAACCCAAACCACTGCAAAAAAAAAAAAAAAAATCCCACACCACACACAAGAAAACACCACATTGCTCATGGAAGAGGGGAAGATGACTCAAGCCTTGCTATTATTATACCTTATTATTACACTATACTTAAAATATTTGTCCTCATTAAAAGAAAAAAAAAACCAAAACAAAACAGAAAACCATCATCAGCAAAGAATAACAAGCTTTTTCCAACTCAAATAAAAAAAATTCCATTGAGAAGGAGATCCTTCCATGATGTGTCAAACTTGTAGACTTCTTGAGCTATCTACTTGAGCGAGGCAAACTATTCAGCAACCCTAGCGATTGCTTTCAGAGCACAGAGATGATTCTGAGCAGGTTGAGTGCTTTCAGGACAAACAGCAGCTGTAACTTCGACAGAAGTATTTTCTGTATGAAAGTGATCAGCAATTTCAGAACTTCCTGGCTGAACCTGGTTCTGGCTTACCAGTAGGCATATTTTAAAGGATTATCCAGCAACTGTTAAACTCCTCAGATAGTTCAACGGCTTCACTTCTTTGCCATCTGCCAGCTTTCCAGTTCTCTAACAACCCAGCAGCTGTTTACTTCTGCTCTGAAGAAAAACCTTTTCACTGCAAAGATGTCTCAGTAGCTCTAGAGCACGCATCCGCCCAGCTCTTGAGCCAAATTTATCATTTGGCATAGCACCTGCATGTCCACAAAGGAGCAGTTGGTTGCTACAGAGAGCTTGGTCTGCGCGCAGTAATTAACATCAGCTTGGAGCACTCTGGAACCAGCAAAATTGAGTCCTGCAGGACTTGGGTAGATACTGAACCCTGCTTTCACAGCAAATCCTGGATACCAAGCCAAATACTTGGCTAAGCATTATGCAGACTAAAGCACAAAAACTTTCAGAAAAACCTCTTTTAAGTGGAAAAAAGTGACCAGTCAGCCTAGAGCACATTTAACACTCACCCGTTCACAATTTGTCAACTTTTAATACAGAGGTCCAGGTCATGAGAAAAATGAAAATCCAGGCTATTAGTTTCCAAGAACTAATGAACAAAAACTACCCCAGTTTAAACTACTTGGAGAATTCAAGTTTGGTCCCATTCTATACTCTGACGTGGGGTGAAGAATCTATTTGAAAAAGAAGTGCAGAAAGAAAAAAGTGCTATAGCTCTTCCAGGGCAATGGTGGTGCAACAAAACATAGAAGCAGGTGAATTAGGATTAAATTTTGCACAGGGATGCACTCTGAAATCACATAGCACCCAGAAGTCATTTAGCTACTTCTCACATCCTAGTTTTTCAGTCAAAGCTTTTACTTCTGTATTGTGAAGCTTTTGTAGTTAATGTTTTACACTAAGATACCATTTACTGTGCATGTTATGACAAATGAGACTTTTGTGCATTGACTCAATGAATTTTAACAATCTAGTCTCAAGGTATGAGAGATGAAGGTGGTATTTTCATTTCACATGCTGAAAACAACGCTAATTTCCAAAAAGCACTTGCAATCTACAGTGGGAGCGGGAGTAGAATCCAGGTTTCTTTGTTCTGAGTTCTGCAGAGCCATTTATCTGACAGCACTGCACTGTGCAGTGACCTTTGATGATGCCATAAACCACAGAACTACGATGATGTGGAAAGCGTGCCGCTCAGATGTATCCACGGCAAGATCACAAATGCAGTAAAGGATAGCATGGTGTTACCTATCAAGAAATACACCCGCAGAGGTACCATGTCTTTCTTGCACCATCTGGTGAGTTTTAGCTGCAACTGCAATCAAGAGAGTGACAACTGGGCATGTGCAAGTGACTGCCCTCAGAGCAAAGGCCACAGAGGTCATTTAACCTGACAGACATTGCATCAAGACTATCTGAAAAGTAACTTTCTAAGAAACAGTTCATTTATCAGTTTTAATGCACATCACAAATTGCCATTCACCCTTTTGTTGATGAGATGACTGGAAATACTGCTTTGTTGTAGGCCAGGCCACAGAGGTCCTGCATGAGTTACTGATGGCATACTTTTCACACGCTATTTTGATTGCTGCTTTTCTGTAGCCTCAGCTCTTGTCTCCATGCCGAGATGGCCGCTACAGGAATGTTCAGTTAGGTGAAAAAGTTTGCCCTGTGTGGCACTACAAGTCCAGCTGTGGTGAGTTGACAAGGCCAGCCATGTTTCTCAGATAACAGCTAACCTTCAAAGCAGCACCACGAGCCTCTAAGGTACTGCATATGGATAAATTATCACTACATTTCCCTTAGAACAGAACACATGTTCCCATTTACCATTTGTGAAAAATAATTAAAAGTTGGTTTCTTTACCTGGCTGGGCAGCAGCATCATCGTTCGCTGCAGAATAGAAAATATAATCCACAGTGACAGCACTTCGGGAGTGACAAGTCGTTACTTCTGGTATCCCAGTTTCAGGAAAGTAATGAGAATAGACTGAAGACAGTTTAAAATGGTGCTGCAATTTTGAAGACAACCTAAACAGGAATCAAAGGAGAGAATTTTATTTTCTTGTCTTTCCTAGAAAGAATAAACAATCAAGAAATATCAAATAGTTCCTAGTTACAAACTGAATTATCTGGATATGCAAACTAGCATTTCTCTCATGCAGTCAATCCCATAGCCTTTTGTGTTAGTGGCCTAAACTTCTGAAGACAAAATGCAGGCAGCTTTTTCAAGTAAAAGGCAGATACCCAAGAGCCTATCAAAACTGGTTTAAATGACACTTTAAATATACATAGCTTTCACCTCCATCTACTCTTTTAAAGATTTCACACGTGTCCTCATTCAGCAATCTCCCCCTGACACGTGGGTAGAAATGCCCATGAGAGCAACAAACTATGAACTCATCTAACCAGGCCCTTCAGCATATAGAGAGATGAGGATTTTTAGGGGGTTTTTTCTTCCCTAAACTAAAGCTATCAAGTGTTTTCACATTAGGCTATGCCTAATCTTCTTTCCTCCACTCAGTCTCCCATTGTGTCTCTCCCCATCACCTGTCACTCTGTTCCTCTTCAGATCAGCCCATCTTGTCTCACTTTGCTTTGAAGATTGAAAAAAACAACTGCAAAACTGCACCTTTCAGCAAAAGAACTCCTCTCTCCCTCCCAGCCATTTACCCTCATCAGCCCTGCAAATCCTCCATCCCTCAGCTGCATCTGCCTCACCTTGCACAGCTGCATGTTTAAACCTGAGCTGCAATGTGTTCTGGTTAAAAACCAAGCAATTAAAAAAAAAAAATCAGCGTGTCACCTGCCTGATTTAGAGAAGACTGACAAACAAGCCGGTTGGTACAATGCAGAAAGGCAGTAATTTCTGCTCTTGTTACATGACATCCTTTTTAAGATGAGGCAAAAAAACCCTGCAAGCAGCGTTCAACATGTGGCACGCTACAGATTTACACAGTAGAACAGGTCTTGTTACCTACTTTTCTCAGACATGCCATTACTTAGATTTTTGAGCACCAAGTGTCTTAATGTAACTACCTGCAGTGATACCAAGAACTCATTTCTGATAAATGGCTGACTTGGAGCCTAACATCACGCACAGAGTTAGGGCTATTTCCTTCTTCTATGCCTTACTTTATATGCCCTTACCAGTTTGGTAAATGCAAATATATTTTTCCTTTCAAAGAGCAGCTACATTTTCCTTCTCAGCAATCTAGTTGTGGCTTCCTCCTTCAGTTTAACAAGCATATGTTTTGATCCAAGTAAGAGTTGTACCACCAAGCCCCTAATACTCCAAGTTTCTGAGACACGAAGAACTTAAAATTCTCCCACAGAACTTGACAAGGAAGATTTTATGATCTCTCCAGTTCCTTTCCCTCCTTCATCCTAATTTCACCTTGTATTATAGGATTTTATTAGCACCCGTAAACCAGTATCTCAAAAACAGTAAAAAAGAGAGAGAAGTGCCAACACTTAAGCAGCTGGACCACACTGGGGTTTTTCTGGGTTTTGTTTTCAGGTTTTGGTTTTTTTTTTTAAAAACACTGTTTCTGCAACTGGACTGAAGTTCACAGCTTTCCTATGATGTCACTACACAGTAAAATGTCCTGTTATGTCAAGAAGTGACAAAAAAGTGTCAAAAGCATTCTTTTAATACGCAGACAGAAAGTACCCTCTGAACAGACCTGACCCCTCGCCTCTGCGTTCTGAAATACCTGCAAATTCCCACAAGAACACACACTCCTGCTCTATTTCCAATTCCAGTCTTTTGCTGTCTAACCAGCCTTTTCACGTTCAGATGGAAGATGACTTTTTGCCAGGTGGGCAGACTGGGTTGGGTGAGCATCTTGTATCTACGTCTGGAATCAGATACAAGTTTGGCCTAAAACCAAAACAAACCCCCAAAACTAGGAATCAGTCAACCTTGGGCTTCCATTTTTTTCCCCCCAGCACATACTTTTCAGATGCTATTACAATCTCCTGAGTGTTGTCCAGTTTTGCTGCTTCCAATTTTTCTCCTGCAAAATAAAAATACATTACATTTACATTTAAAAATAGGATGCTGGCGAGACCAATACTGAAGAGCTACAGGAAAAAAATATCTTTAAGTATGCTTATTTTTTGCAGCAGACAAGATACAGTTTACAAGGCTGGATTAAATTCTTCTGTTCCATTAAGTAAGATCCCCTCCAAAGACTCTTTCAAATTATGTCCCATTCATTTATAATTGTTTTTTCCGCCAAAGAAGAAATGGATGAAAGATGTAACAATACTCAGCAAGGAATCACTTGCTTTTCCCACTTATTCCATAAAGTGCTTGCACTCTAACACATAAACACTGTAGCAGAACGTAGGTTCATGCTACATACGTGTGCTGCATTCTTCCATCTCTCTTTTCCCAGTCACAGCACAACTGGCTTTCATGATGCAAATACAGTAGACTAAATATTACACACCAGCTCCCAAATGGCAATTTCTAACCATTCACCTTCTAAAGATTCAAATTTGCAAATGCTTATGTGAACAAATAATGTTACACTCTAACGAGCCCAACAAGGAAGTTTTGCAAGCACAAGACTCACTGTTTTTCCCCCACTAGAACACATTATGTTTTTCAGTGCTACCTGAACAATATTGTCAAAGGATGACAAAATTCACCACCCTAGAAACTGACCTGCATTTTCTTCTTTTTGCTGCTTTTTTATTTCATATACACAGTTTTGCGAAATACCTAATTTCTTTGGCCAAATTGGAATAGGTAAGATTCTTTGTCCTCTTGGAAACTGTTCTTGTCCGGAGACCTAAGAAAGACAACACGAGCTTTTTTCAGACAGAAATCTGATTTAAAAAAAAAAAAAAAAAAAAAAAAATTGAAACAAGTGGACATTTTTAGTAAAGTTTAAAGTTTTAAGCAAAAGCAAAAAAACCCCAAACATCCCCCTAGAATAAGTCTTTTATAATAGCTTGTCAAATCTCAGTAAAAATAACACCCCTTATGTACACCCCCTTTGTTTACTCTTACCAAGTTTTTTGCAGCTACCCAATTTTTCAAGATAGTTCTTGTGACACTAAGCTGAAAGACTACCAAGACCGCTTTTAGCAACACAACAGGACTGAATATATACATCTCCTTAACAGACACTTACTTTATCTTCATGGTGCTTATTCTGGGAGCAAGTCAAGTCAAAGTGGGGCTGGAAACAACTACCCACTAGCAATAAACACCACTGGGGCTATTTTGTCATGTTCTCTCATCATATGTACTCCAGTTACTTTCTATTAAATAGCATTTGACACATCCAACAGCTACATACAAGAGCTTACAACAAAAAACATCTAACCTGAAGCAGTTTAGGTTCAGCATCTAATTGCATTTTTGCTTTTACAATTACTCTAGCCACTGTAATTCAAAGTTTATCTAAAATAAGAGTCATCTTTCCACAGAGTACACAGTAGGTATTTGATTAAGTAGTTATTTTATCCTACTTAAACACCGGGATGCTTGAACAGAGCGATACAGTCATCCTGTGGATAACTACCTTTCAAGAACAATTAATTTATTTGCAAGTTTTTAATTTCAGAATGCTGGAAGCGAATACAATCTTCTGTAAGGCACAGCTAATATACCCAAGCGCAGCTTAGTAACTCCACAGTAACCTTCTCTTTGCAGACTGCGTAAAGGGCACTAAGATTGGTACTGCAATGGAAATAATCACAAGCCCAGCTATGGCACACTAGCATCACTCAATTAAATATTTCTCTTTAATCAGCATTAACTTTTTTTTTTTTTTTGAGAAGTGAAAAGCATAGCCTACCTTCCCTATAGCAAGTCCTTCATAATTTAACTTCCCTTCCTTTATAAATCTGTACAATGGAGAACCAGGAACAGAATTGAAGTCACCACAGATGATAATTGGACAGTAGGTACCGTCCTTCTGAGGGGCAACACTAGCAATCTCTGCCAGGAGCATTGCAAGTTGGGTCAGTTTGATGTCCCCTCGCCTTGGGTTATACAGCAGATGTGTATTGGCTATACAGATTGCAGCATTAGTTTCACAGTGAAATCTAGGCTGCAAAAGCAACACCAGTCCAACGTTGTCCCTGTCCAAGAGTGGAATATCATGGCGAAAAAATTCCACGGGGTTTGATGAGATCAGGCTAAACTTGGAAGTTTTGAAGCAAATAGCACAGCCATCAGGTTTTCTCCCTGTCCTCATTTTATACTCACAGTGATACCCTGCAAGAAAGGCAATTAAAAACATAAAATACCATTGTATAGAGATTATGTTTTTAAAATATTAGAAAATCTTCACGCTACTTTTCTCATGTGGTAGTCAACACCCGGTCTGAAGTACCAAAGACTTTGTAAAGTTCACATAGAAAAGTGAACACAAGAGACTTTCTGTCCTGTCTAGCTTCAGTTTAGATACTACGGGAAACCTGGTCTAGTACCTTCTGTGATGTGTAAGCATCTACATAGTTTAAGGCATCAGGCATGCTCTTCTCTCCTCACATGGGAAAAAACCCAAACGAAAACAACAAAAAAAACCCCACAAGTGACATAAAAGTGGACTTGCGTATTGAAGTTTTTTCTGGATGTTACCACAATGATTTAGGAATAATACCAGTGAAGCATTCCAATCAAAAGTAATAAGCACTGTAAGTCATAAATCACTGTCTAAAACGATTCGTAGAACAAAGGTCTCAAATATATTTACACAATTACATAATTATCCAGATAGCAACATTTTCAACAGCAAAACTGAGACACTTATCAAATGACAGTATCGGAGTTCAATCAAGTCCATGCAGATTTTAATGAGACCTTACCTATATAAGAAAAAAACAATGATCTTGAAACAGTATCCAGCTTTTGCCATGTTAAAATCCTTCTCTGCCCAGCCCATGTGATATGAATTCAAGAAGTACAGCTCCACGAAGTGGAGTGAGTCGACCTCTGAGCTCACACCAGTGCTGGACCAGGGGATTCCCACTCCTCTCTCCCAGCTCCAGGCCAAGTGCTCCTGCCACATGTTGCGGCACTTACTATTAACTCAGTAAGCCAACAGAAAACTAATCCAAGAAAATAAGATTAGTCTGGATAGCGTTCTGCTGGACTGGTGGATTTCACCAGGGTAGAGGCCTAGTGAGTGCCAAAACTGGCCCAGGAGAAGGGGCAGGACACACATCTGGGAGTAGGGAGGGGAAGAGGAAGAGCTAAGCAAGCTCCACATCCTCATGTATAGCAGCAGGAAGCTCAGTTGCCCACATGAGCGAGGCCTTACAGTGTTGTTTCACATTTCAAATGGACTTAAATCAGTACTGCCACTACTCTACCTTCTTTACATTCAATTCTGGGAGCTAGACTATCACCAGCTAACCAAGAAAGAAAAAAGTATCAGTCCAGTGCTGCTCCTTGAACTGTCTCCTCCCGGTATCAGACAAGCACCAGGAAGAGAGTGGGGTCCTGGGGCTGGAAGGAGGTGTAGGGCACAAAAGGTTTAGACCAGTTTAAAGCACCATGAAATCACACCCCTAGCAGCACGTTCCTTACCATAAATTCACATGGGAGAGTGCTATTTAGGTTGACTGACAGGAGTAGAATAAAAGCTAATGAATAAAAACTGACCAACAATAAAATTTAGTGCTCATATTTGGAAGGTTTCAAGCCAGGAAAAAACATACCCTAGAAAAGCATTCCAACAGGAATACTGGTAGAAAACACTCATGTAGTTTTGAGAGAGCACTTGGATAAATTTATAAAAGGGGGTACACACAACATCATCGTATGTCATGGCACTTGATTCTATAATCTAAGAGAGGGGGTTTTTTGAGGAAAACTACTGGGGCAGGGGAGAGGACAATATATTGGTCATGAGAGTTTCATCATACCCAGGGATTCCAAACTTGACTTGATCTCTGTTCTATAGTGGTCTTCTTGGACTTCTTGTAAACAGAGTACCTAAGATGAAAGTTTACAATTAAAAGGTATTAGTAAGTACATCAAAATATTACCGTATCATATCTCTGTTGGCCAGTCGGTACAGGTAAAATAAAAAAAATAGTCAGAGTCTTTTTGCCTCCATAATCCCATGAAAGGATTCCCTCTCCTATAGAAAATGCTCCTTAAGATTGTGAAGAGGGCCCCAATTCCTCCCACCATTTCTCAGACATTAAATTTAATCAAAATAGCAACCCACTAATATATTCTCAGTGGTTTAGGAGAAGGCTAAATGTTGAGCAGTGGGATGAAGAGGCCAAGGGCATTAACTACAGCGTGAACAACAAGTCTCCATATTATGACAACCTGAAACAGAGATCAACCTCAAAATACTCCATTAAGAGAGAGTTCCAAGCATCTTGGAGCCTTCTCCCTGCACACTGCAGTGACACACAGATTTACAGACACCCTAGGACTCTGACAAAGGGCCGAGTTCCTGAAAGATAATGACTTAGCACTGCCTGCGGAACTGCAGCAACACTCTTCACTTACCCAGCTGACACCAGCTCATTTAAGATCTCAAAGGAGAACCAAATCTTCAACAAATAGTCTGAAGTCTCTGCTTTGCTTCAAGGTTGAAGTTCAAAACAATTGGTTAAAAGTCTATGTCCTTTAGCAGGAACTTCCTCTGCACAAAGGGCTCCTGGACCTACTAGGGTCTGTGAGCAGTGTCTCGTCATGACTCAATGGGTAGAATACAAGGCATCACCTCTCTACCCCAGTGCTGTGTTGTGTGGCTCTGCAGACCTCAGCAAATATCCTGAACTGCAGTGCTGGTTTCTACAGGGGCTGGCTTTGGCTCCAGCCCTTCCATGCTGGAGAACGGTCTGTTACCACTAATAGCACCAGGCAGATCCTCACCAGAGTCCTTCTGCCCAATGGTCCTTCTAGAAAGCCCACTAATGTATCTCACTGTAAAGATACATGCATACAGCATGTATAAATTTACGAGGAAGAGCTTGAAGGGGACTTCTCCAGTTTCCTGGCTATGTACTAAAAAACCTGCATTTTTCAAATGGTACAGAGCAGTTTTTCTATGGCTTCCTCAATACAACTACGTTGATTTTTCAATACTGTTTTCTGATGTGAACAGGTTGGATTCTATCACCAAACTTTTGTTGCCCTAAACAATGACTGAAGCAAAAAGTTTACTGACTTGACTTCCTGATTAAGATTAACAGTAAGTGGTAAGTGTCCTCAGAAACAAACAAAAAAAAACCCCACGATCAACCAAGAACATGGCAAGGTATTTTTTCAGACCCTAATATAAACAGAAGTTATAAACTAGAGTTATGTCTCTGTAAACAACAGCAAGCTTATGTCTCTGTAAACAACAGCAAGCTTGTTCACAAGTCAAATGGTGCAGGGTACCAGATGAAGAAATGAATACCCAAGAGGAATACTTTTGGATCAGTCTCACATGAATGCTAGAACACCTGCATCTTTCTCTCAACCTTGAACATTAATTTCAAGAAAATGGGGATCCACATAGCAGCCTCATCACTCCAGTCCTTGTACAATCAAAAAAGTAAAACGAGTCTGCCTTCCAAATAAAGGATTCAGACATGATTATAAGTTCTCTGTTACATCGTCTAATAAATGGCTCTGAAGGATTAGCAGCCAGATTTTAGAAAGGGACCTTTGAGTTGCTGAGTATAAAGACACTTGGTGTAACTACTACCTAAACAAATATGAAGTCAGTCACACACCTGGAAGTTACAAAATGCCAGTCCTGGAGGTTGCCTTATCTTGATCCTCCTGTGTGCATGAATACTGTTTTTCCTCCACAAAAACCTGGCATGCAAATTATGTGTTGGCAAATAATGACAATCTTGCATGTCCGGCACAATTAAAGAGAGCCTCCAGCTCTGGAGCTTTCTAAACTGTTCAGTCCCAGAAGCTGAGACTATGCTGAACAAAGGTGCGCTATTACTCTTAGCATCTGTCATTAGCTACTATTACAAACATGACGCTAGACTAGGTGGACCTTTGGCCTATGCAAGTGTAGCTGTTCTTATGTTCAATGCCTCATTTACAGCATTCAAGTGTGCTCTAGGCACAGACTGAGAAAGATTTATGCGAAGAAAGAAGGGTTTGGAATTATAAAAATATTGCAGTGTATCAGCAGAACATCAAAGCCATGTCAAAAAGACCATTCCAGGAAGTTATGGACAAAAAAAAAGGCAACTATGAGTGATATGTACTGTGGAGTTTGCTTCTGCTCTAAGTTCAAATCACACAGAATACACTAATTGCATAAGCATAAATCAAAACTACTGTTAAGCATAACATAAGTAAAAGCTCAGTTGGATTCACTAGACAGCCCACCTATCGAAATAAAGAACAGCAAGAATTTGCTAGTCCAGTTTATCAGTTCTTAAGAACTATCCACATGCTCATTTTCTACTCACATCTGCATCCAGCTGTTTGATTTCTTGTAGAATGTTGGGAAATCTGTATGTCCAGATTAACAATCGTTGCCTGCAGTGTTTGTACAGGTGGGAGTTATCTTCTAACAAATTCTGTGAGAGGATATTGTAGGACATGACTGTAAAATCAAATTTTGCCTCACTTTCTGTATTGCTTTGGTCAGTTTCTTTATTTTCAACGATTTTCATTGTTCTACTGTGCTGACAGAAATATTCCCAGCGTCTTTTGACGGTTCCTGTTAAAAGCACACGAAGGAGAAAAAGTTATATAATACACCATATGACTTCTTACTGCTCTTGGAAATCGTTCTACTGACAACTAGTTGTCTTTCAAATTGCTTAAGCAATTCTAAAAGCTCATTTGATTAGCAGTGATTTAGACCCTCTGTTTAAGATTAACTCTATATAAGCACTAGTAAAAACGAAAACAACCCCCAAAACTGTTATATGCCCTGGATTTCAAATTGCTTTGAAATTAGGAAACCAGCATGTTCTAAGGAGATCATTGCAGTCAGACTACACCACCCTGCTCCCTGTAGAAAGGCTGCCAAACTGGTAAGCCAAATCCAGTCTGTTGGCACGGTCTTATGCTACCTCCTGCCACTACCTCCTCAGTCGGGATGGGGTATGTCAGTCTGGGATCCACCCTTTAGAGCAGCCTATGGGCATTTTGCCATATCCACAACTAACAAAGGGTTAGGGATCAAACAAAGGGTTCACCTCTAGCCTGTGTACAGTCTGACAAACTCAGCCATAAGCTGCAACAGGGTCCATTACAGGGGTCCCAAAACACATAATGAACCTGATTTCCCTCAGTGAGGTTGAGAAACTGAAAAATTAGTAAGCCTCAGAATTACCAAGAACTTCTGCAAAGGCTTACTTCACCTTTCTGCCATTCCTAGCTTCGTACTTATTATTAATATCATTATGTGAAAGTTTATAATATATCTGCCCATCATTAAGTGTCCCATTATTTTTCAGATATTTATTTCTCCACTTGGAGAACTCATGAACAAAGATGCCTTTCAGCTATGTCCCAACTCATCTGAGAGCATGCTGAGGTTATCTGTGTGTAGCACAGTTATCTGTGCTATCAACTAGTGGCAGACTCCAGCTATAGCTGCTAGTATCTGCCCTACTTGGATAGTAAATTTTGCTGTGCTTACATGATTCAGGTCTTCAACTAGTATTTGTAATGAATATAGCAAGGCTTTAAATACTGTTTCTATAGTGGGAGAGAAGCCACATTGCTTCTCAGCAGGTATCTTTAATTACTGTCACTTTACAATATGCGAGCAAAAGATAACTACGAAGGACCACAATGCTAACTACTCTCTGAGATAAAAGCATGTCAAAATGTACTTGCTAAGAGAATTGAGAGAGGCCTCAGCAATAAAGGCAGAAAGCAAACTCCCTCCCTTCAGCTCCTGAAGATGGATATGATGTTTCTAAGCCTTATGGATAAACCCCTTTTGGGGTGCTGATGGCATCTGTCGCCCTTTTCAGTCATAATACAACTTCCAGTTTCTTTTGTTAAGGAAGTGATTTATGCAAGAGGGGGCCAATTTTGACTGCACCCCTCTATCTGTTTCACAATAGACAAAACTGTAAATATCCACAATACTCAGTAAAACATTTGGATGCTATGTAGAGAATTACATCCCTAATAAGCCGAAGCAGACACTTCCAGGTTTCACCAAAGTCTGTTACTGAGTTGGGAAGACATCTTTGCACTTCTTCCTGTATTTATCTGGATAAGCGCATTTGCTGTTTGCTCTGCCAGTCATGGTCTGACACAAAACATGCTAACATGCCAGTGGCAGAATACAGTTGTAAAAACAAAACCACACAATCACACTGGAAGCAAACACCATTAAATCTCAGTTCATTGATTCTCAGTTATCTAGGTCACGGATAACATAACCAGCTCAGAAGGAAGTCAGTTCAGGTCCAGCAGGGCTTATGAGCTCAGGTACAATACAAGGAATGAAGCTATACAGCTGCCAGCCCAGCTCTGCCCTACAGCAAGGCAGCTAGATCTTTTTTCTTTTAAAGAGTTCCCAAGTTAACAGATCTGATCTGGCAACAGGTAACAGGGAGAGTTGTCTGAACCAAGCGCAGGACTCCCCAGCTGGGCAATTCCTCACATCATTGATTGTGTTCCATCACCAAGCACAGCGAACCTAGTTCTGGCAGACTGACAGCACAAAATATGAGTTTACAGACTAAACAGCATTACAAAACCCTGACATTTTTTAAGACAGATGTTTTCTTGAGAGAGGTGCCAAGAAAAACAGTAACTCCAAAGGTGCAGGCAATATTGCTTATAACTTGTTAGATGTGTTCAGCGTTACAAATAAACAAGGAAGGCAAGCAAGGAGCATCTTTTACCTTTCTTGCTGCTATGTTTTTCTTCATTCTGTGCTACAGAAAGACACAATGCTTCCCGCTGATGAGAGAAGTTTGTTTCTTCTTCAGGAGTTGAAGTATTATGCTGGTCACTGAGCCTTCTCTTCTTTGTTAATGGTTCTTCTCCCTCAGATTTCATACTGGGGTTAGGTAGGTGAAAGCAAGAACTTTGCATGAAGTTATCAAGCTGCCAATTAGAGTTCTGGAATTGCCTCCAAGGTCCAAAAAATGAAGGGAGTCTCCAGTTTGCTGAGAAGTCAGCTGGAACAGGAAGTGGAAACGAGGCCCAGGGATACTGTCCGGCCCATCTCATACAGCTGGGAACTGGACTGTTCAAGGCAAGTATCTGAGAACCATTCCAGTGGGTGATCCAGTCTCTGCCCAGCCTCTGCACATGACGGGGCAGCATGGGCTGTCTACCAAAGAAAGTGCAAGTTTCATTACTTACACAAAACTACATCTGCCTGGAGAAGACTGCAGGTGCAAGTCATCCTGGTCATGACTTATATAAGATAATCTTTCTCTACAAGTTACACATACAAGATATTCAAACCTTTTTAGATACATACAAGATATTTAAACCTTTATCTACATGACATGCAAAGTGGGACTCAACAAAGCCATCTTGTACCTTTCTTCCCCTTCAGACTTACAAATGCCATTTCATTTCCAAACTCTATCCATCTGAATAACTATTTACAATTTATTTTCTGCCTTGTTGAATTCAACTACCAGATCTTTCAAGTGCTCAGTGGAATGACCTTTACAAAAGGCCATTTTTGCACGCTTCATTAACTTTATCATGCAGCTATTTGAAAGGCACAGAAAACCACTTTCCTTCAAGCAGTCAGAAATTTATTCAAAGAGCCACTGGCTTGGCTCAAACCACAGTGCCACCAAGACAGGGAAACAGAAGGACTAATTCTCACACCACCTCTGGCACCAGCTTGTAAATTTATATTCTCTGTTTTACAGGTGGGGAAACTGCAGCTTAGTGATTAAAGCCATGAAAATAAGGTGTTTTCTTCTCTTTTCCCAGGAAAAATAAATGAACCCCGAGTCTCAGCAAAAATAAATGAACCCTGAGTCTCAGCAAAAATGCAGGAAGGAAGGCTGAATGACATCAGTCTGTCTCAGCTTCCTGGTTGCTTATATCAGGAGGCATATTTTGAGCTTGCAAGCCCAAGACATCAGTGCTTGGTATGCCTGACTAGGGCGAGAGCCTCCCAGCCGCCATTCAGCCCCGCCGAATCAGCCTCAGTACGTACTAACCCTGAGCAGAACCAGCTTGTCCCGCGACAGCAGCCTCCACCACGGCGCACCAGAAGGAGCTCGACAGACACATAAGCAAAACATTACGGTGCAGCCGAGGGGAAGCGGTGCCTCTCCTTTGCAAAGACCTCCTCAAACACCCGTTTTACGGAGAAGCGCTGAGAAAGGCTCCCTTCCGAGAAGCCCAGCCCCAGGCGAGCGCTTCCCCGCGACCACCTACACGCGGCAAAGCAAAACCCCCAAGCCCACGCCGTGTTTTGTTTACCGCGGCCCTCCTCTGGCTAATGGCGGGCATTTAGAACCAGCGACTTGTCAGTCGTCCTCCCCCTTCGCACCCGGCCGGGCTGGGAGC